TGCGCAGTGATCAAATGCGTATTTTCCTGTCGTAGAGTCTTCGTACATTCTGCCCCTGACGCCGCAATCAGATTCTCAAGATAAATTCTTGCCTCGCCAACATAATTGGAAAGGCTAATCTTCAGCCCCTTAAATCCTGGAATCGGGTCGGGGGAGATTGGATAGTGCAAAGGTCGACTCAAAGGACGAGTATATGTATTGAATGTCATCAGGTAATAAAGCCAAGCAAGGTTACCGACGACTTTGTCCAAGCGAGATGCGAGTCGGTACACAATTCCTTTTCGGAACTTGCAGACGACCCAGTCTGCGTCCTCAACGTTGCTTGTCACAGTGGCACCACTCTGCTTGAGCACTGCCTCGATGGACTGTCGCAAATGGGACCCAATCTCGAGATCTTCTGAAAGCATGATCTGCTGCCCCTCAAACACCTTGAGTTGATTCGGAGTGCTCGTGGGGGTAGGCATGTCACGCGGCGCGGGGGCTGAGGCGCCTGCAACGTCCCTGTTTTCGTTCCATCGAATGGGGTCGTTGGGGCCTGCACGTAAAATCTCCGGATCTGGCAGCATATATGGCTTTTCGTCAATGCGCTGGCCAAGCTTCAAGCAATCATCGAACCTATCCAGGTCAGCGCAATTCCATTAACATGTAGCACCGAGGCGAAACTAACCAGTGGGGTAAAACGATTTTGGTGCGCATTGCTTTGGCTTTCACCAAGCGTGCTTTATCCGAATCTGCAGTCAAGTCAACCAAGTGAGTTACCATGGCGCTAAGCCTAGGGCTATATAAGCCGCCCTTGGCCAGCACTGCGCCGATAATTGCATCCTTGTCGCCCTCTGGGATGTCGCCGCAGGTTACAACCACATCATTTAAGAATAGCCGAGGATCGGGGCTGTAGTGGCGTGGGTTCACAAGCTTGCGTTTTGAAAGCGATGTATGGATCCAGGCCGGCTTGACGATTGGGATCAAGGCGTTGGAAAAGTAATCGTAAGATTGAAAGTTGATGGTGCTACAAACGATATGGGTGCATTCGATGACGTCTGTTTTCTCGGGACTGCTTTCGAAGATCGACGGTTCACCACTGTTTTCTTCGATAACCGCTGCAAGCTGAAAGAAGAGCGAGGTCAGTCTTGAAACACCACGCGCCCTGATGCGCAAAAAAGAAGAGAGAAATAAGGTACCTGTTCGGCTGTTTCACGGGAAATTTCGGGAGAGCACAAGATGAAAATACGGCACTGCTCAAAGAGCTTGGATCCTTCAATTGTCGCCATGGCGGTAAACCGGCGTGATCGCACTGGTTATGGTGATGAGGCAACTCTCTTAGAGCGGAGTGGAGGGGATCGGGCCAAACGCGAGGCGCGCGTGTTGACTGCGACGCCAGGTCACGTGGACACCAACATCTGGGGAAGGGTGTACAGCTGACGGGGATTGAAATATTCCAATATCCCATAATTACACTCTAGAATAAGTTGAGGGTTTCGAAGAGCTGGAAATCACTTGGTGTTGTCACTGCCGTGAAATTAAACTGGGCACAATGCGGTCCAGGTTACGAAGTGCTAACTAGTACTACAGTCATAGCACTGGATCTATGCCATTGGATAAATCTCCCTATCCACCGCATGTATTCTGCGGCCGAGTACAACCGGGCTCTTCCATCTGGCCTAGTGCGGGACCGCTTTGCAGGGCAACATGGTCAGGGCTTGGTTTCTAACACTCTCGTCGGCTTGAACCCTTATGCAGGACTGAGGCAAAGCTTTGAAATCGACTCTCCGCATCACTGCTTGCTGTAATCGTTAGATTACTTCAAAAAGAGCGATATGCGGATGTTGTTGACACTCGCTGTGATCCGGATTAGCGGTATCCGTCAGTTTAACGAGGCAGAGGATTGCACGAGGAGGATCGCAAGTACGATCCACTTTCTATTGCCGGATAGATCCGCGACATATGTATTGGACACCTCATCGCACCATTGAGGTAGATTTGCGCCGTTAATTTGATGGTTCGCTGCCAAGGGGGCGGGGAAATGGCATTGGCGATGTAATTTTCCGTGTCCAGCTTGAGCTGTGCATCGTGTTAGAACTCAGGAGTGCATCGATTAGAGCCATGCTGGGAAAATCGCTGACAACCCGGCTCGATTGACAACCTTTCAATGACATCTCATCGAACAAGTTTCGGCCTGCGGTGCTGTACAGTTTTGCAGGTGCTGCTGGCCCATGGGTTGAAAATTCCGGCAGATGGTATTTTATGGGCAGTTCTCAACGAGATGAACGTTATCGGCTGGTAATCTCATCTCGTGCGACTGCAAAAATCCGCTGGATTTGGTCGCATTGTGTCGCTTCTTGCCTTTCCCACTCGGCTGACCGCAATTGAATTTCGTCCGGATCGAATCCAGCTTCCATCCAGCCACCCAAATACAATTTCCAGCGGCCGGACTCCTTTTTGACATTCTTATTTCCCGCACGAGTGGTTCATTTGGTTCCGTGAGAGCGAGCTCGTCCTTGTTCGTGGAGTTCCATGGGTGGGGGTTTCTGTGGTAGGGTTTGATACAGCCAGATAAATTGATGCGAGGACCCGAGGGGTACTGCTTGCGAGAATGTTGTGTCAGTTGTAGATGTTGAGCTGACCCTTGGGTGATTTGTTTACCGTCAACTCTGCCGGCAGTTGACCAGTTGGAACATGTGGAGTACCGTTGGAGTACGGTTGGACACCAAAAGGGCCTCGGCTCATCCGCCCCGGTCGGCAACTAAGCTCCGTTTAATATTCCGGGGTTCTACTTCTACTCCTTCTAGTGTCCATGTCCATTTCTCCTCCACACTCCACCATGTCCTTTCCTTTCCGTATCGTTGAGCATGTTGTGCCTGGTCAGCATATTCGCGAATACCCCGCTGCTACAGCGAATAGCCAAGAGGAGCCCTTGAACTTGGCCGTGAAACAATACATCCCGCTCGACAACCCCAACCCGCAACCCGGCGATGTGACCATCCTAGCCGCCCATGCAAATGGCTTTCCCAAGGTATGACAACAATCAGACAGGGTGTCTGCCGCACTACGCAGGGCCAACTCAATCGCGCGCAAAAGACGAATCACTAATATTGATTAGGAACTGTATGAACCTCTCTGGGAGGAAATTCATGCTAGAGCCAAAGATGCCGGATTTCGCATTCGCAGTATCTGGATGGCCGACGTGGCTTGGGAAGGCGAGAGCAGCGTGCTAAACGAACATATTCTTGGCAATGATCGTATGTAACCTTTGACACCAGCTATCTCCTCAAACATCAATGATCAGCATACTCATAACTATCGACAGCGAGCTGGTTCGACCACCCTCGAGACCTTCTCCACCTCGTCAACGTCAAGCGAGCCGAGATGCCACGACCCATCATCGGCGTCGGTCACAGCTTCGGCGGTGCGCACCTGTCAGTACCCGGCGCTGCTGTAACCTCGCCCCTACCATTTTCCAAATTCTGACAATCGTCATATGTAGCACCCAGTTAAGCTTGATGCACCCCCGGCTGTTCCACTCCCTGGTACTACTTGACCCGGTAGTCCAGCGGCAGAGCACTCAGCTTGACGGACTCAGCCTGGAGGAAAACAAGCAAATCATCGCAAAGACCACCCAGCTCTCCACTTACCGGCGGGACCTCTGGCCGTCACGAAAGGCCGCAGAGGAGGGGTTCAAGCGCAGCCCATTCTACCAGACATGGGATCCCCGGGTCCTCGAACGCTGGGTTAAGTATGGCTTGCGCGATCTGCCCACCCTTCACCATCCCCTCGATGACAAGACCGTCACCGATAAGAACAATCTCCCCGTTACACTGCGCACTCCGTTCCATCATGAGGTCTTTACCTTCTCACGACCGAACTACAATCACATCCCGGGTAGCGGCAAGCCTGTGAATCGAGTGACACACCCGGACTTAGACCCGAATAACAAGCAATCGCACCCTTTCTACCGGCCCGAGCCGGTGCGCATCTTCTCGCAACTGCCGTTCCTTCGCCCGAGTGTGCTTTACATTTTCGGCGGCAAGTCTGACATGTGTCTACCATGGATGATGGCCGATAAGCTCGAACACACCGGTGTTGGCGTCGGCGGTAGCGGCGGTGTTGCTGCTGGGCGCGTGCGTGATGTCCTGCTTAAAGATAAGGGCCATTTGCTTGCCCAAGAGGCAGTTAATGAGTGTGCTGATGCTGCTGTCGCCTGGATGGCCCCTGAGCTCCGTCGCTGGAAGGATGAGGAAGAGAGTTTCTGGTCCGAGTGGAATAAGAAAAGCAAGCTGGAAAAGGTTTCTGTGGATGCGGAGTGGCTGAAACACGTTCCTGAACCAGCACGACGCCCTAAGAAGACCGTTGCCGCTAAGCCCGAGTCGAAGCTTTGAACGAGGAGGAGGCTTCGAGCAAGAACGCCTTGAGTAGGAGAGACATACCCTGTACATACAAAGCCGATCTGTTCATTTAGAACTTCTTTTAGATCACACTGCGAGCTCAGCATTAGAGAATAAGAAGGGGCCAAGATAATTGACTTATGAAAGGTCTACATTAATGGTACCTAGGTATATCACAACGTTGGGAAGAAATCCAGTCACACAAAGTTGATTCTTTCTACCTCAATTTGTATCATAGTAATGTGAATACAGATAACCAAGGAAGCGGGTCGAAGTCAGATCAAAGAGAGCAGCAACCACGAACCAAGAGTCCTACTCCCGTCTATAGCAACAATGCACCACGCGCCACATTTCCTCCTGCGCAGCTGGCGAGGTAATTCTAAGACCAGCGAGTTTTTCGTCACCAGGACGTAGGATATCAAACGAGCTCAAGGAAAAAAGCAAGCAGCCTTCAGCCAGGAATGGTTGGGGGGGGGGGGAATGGGGATAGAAGCCAGGGTCGAGAAACGATTGAGGGTAAAGATTCCACGCGCTTTTCCAATGGATCGTCAAATTTCATTTCAGCCTTTAGTAGCAACAGATCAAAGCTAACGGTATAATTCAACCGTGACTTTTTTGCGTTCAGGTGGACTTTTTAGCTTGAGCCACCCCGTTTTCGGATATCGGGGTGGTGCGAATCACTTCAGGGATGTGCCAGACCCGCGCCCAGCGCAGATGATATTCGTCTTGTTTGTTGTTAAGGCAATGTCGCAGCCAGATGCCCCAGACGATGTACATGTATGCACCGATACCGGTCATGATGTGCCTAAAAATGAGTTAATTAAATGAACTACAACGGAAGGAAAAGTTTAAAAGATGCCTGTACGTACCACCAACCATGTCCCTCCAAGAATATACCCCACGGTAAACCCACCAAGTGGCGCCACCGGCGGATCTGGGGACAGAACTCGTTGTCTAGGTTCCAAATGAAGAATCCACCCAGGAACATACTAAGTCCATAGCCAACCATGAGCCACATGGTCTTGAGAGTCTTCAAATCGCGCACGTTCTCGTAGTTCTGGTGTTCTTTCGAAGGGACCGGTAGGCCCTTCTTCTGGCGTTCTAGACGATCCTCCTCGCGCGAGTGGCGCCATTTCGGACGCAGGGTGGTCTCCATAGTGTGCATGCTGCGGAAAACAACGACGAAGGTGAGGAGCGCGTAGGCATTTTGGTGGAATACTGGGTCTTGGAGGTAGTGGTAGTAGAGGGTGATGAAGACGGCTAGACTGGTGAGGAATACGGCGAGGGATACGCGTAAAGCCACCGAGCGTCGGTAGGAAAAAGAAGCGTAGGCCATCAGACAGGTGGTGTAAATCATAGACAGCTCATCTACTAGCTGCATGGGATCTGCAAGCGAACTCAACGGTTAGATACCGATCTGCAGCTTGAAAGAAATCAAACTCCAACTTGGACGCGAACGATTGCGTGGCAGCATGGGGCTCTTCAAAGGACATACATTTGAGGGTAGAGTGGAAGAGGAAGCTTCCAGTGCCGACAACCAGATATCCCCATAGGGCGACCGAGAAGATCTGGTCATGTTGATTGCGGCGACAGCTGAGAAGGCCCTTAACACCTAGCCACATAAACAAGAGGTTTGTGAGAGTGTTGACGATCTCGGCAGAGTAGACAGTAACATAGTAGTCCTAATCGAGGGTTAGAACAGTGGACCGGGGACTCCGGTAGAAGATAGTAGGGTCAAGCTGCAAGCTGTCGCAGGCAGTAAACATGTTACATACCTCTTCACACCAGTTTAAAGTGGAAGTAACGGGACTCCAGAAGCCAGGCTTCGCCCGTGGATACGGGATATGAGGTAGAGGCCACGGCATCTTGAGAGGGCCTTTTACTTAAGGTGGTGACAAAACAGAAAAGACAGAAGAGCGTGGGCAAGTGGTCATCGACACATGACGTCGCATTCCACTGGCACTGGCTCAATTGCGCGCTGATTGGCGCCAGCCGCCCTCCGCGACTTGCCGGTTGCGGTGTACTTGGGACATTTGAGACATTCTGAGCGTGTTTGATTTGATTATTTACAGAGTAATTGATTACGGAGTACCAGGATCATAGTGGGTCAATACCTTACTACCCTACTCTACTGTATACTGTAGTCTGCAGTGGCTTTTCTTATCGATACCGAGGTCGAGCCGACACGATGACTTCACCCAACTTGACTTCCCCCATCAACGGTGATCAGCGGTCACCCCCAACTCTCAACTCTCAACACCGGTCTTGGACCCATCTAGGCCATTCCTGTCCTCCCTTGACATACCGCACCATCTACTCTTGGCTCCATCTATCTCAATCCCGATCCTCCTATCTAGGGTCCCTCTATTCTCCTCGCCGTATGCGGTGACTCGGAAAACTTGATTCATACGCCGTCGCAACTCCGACCCCGATACCAGTCAATCCGATCCGCAGTCACTTATAGCCCAGATATACCGTCTCCCACCAATTCACAACCGCTGGGGGCCCCCGCGGAAGCTGGCTTTGAAGCAATGTCGAATAACAGCGCCTTGGTGCCGCAGGTCAAGACCGGTACCTCCAAATGTACGCCCGCTGCATGCCCTTACCTCGCGCATACCTATGCAATAACCCCCCACGCTAATACCAAGCCTCAATCCTTAGCATCCAAGACCGTCTTTCATTTCGCCGCTGGTCTCTGCTCAGGCCTAACATCGTCCATCCTCCTCCAGCCCGCCGATCTCCTCAAAACGCGAGTCCAGCAATCCGGACACGGCGCCACCCTCCTCCCAACCCTCAAGACAATCCTCGCCTCTCCACATCCCATCCGCTCATTATGGCGCGGTACACTCCCCTCAGCCCTTCGCACGGGGTTCGGTTCGGCCCTATACTTCACCAGCCTTAACGCCCTACGCCAAACAGTCGCCCAAGAAAACACCCACACCGTCCTAGCCAACTCAACAACAACAAATTCCTCCTCCGCCCTCCCCAAACTCTCCAACTCCGCCAATCTCGTCACAGGAGCCATCGCTCGGGTCGCCGCTGGCTTCGTCATGATGCCTGTCACTGTACTCAAAGTGCGCTACGAATCCGACTACTACGCCTACCGCAGTCTCGTTGGCGCCGGCCGCGATATCGTACGCACAGAAGGTTTCCGCGGTCTCTTCGCGGGCTTCGGCGCAACGGCAGCCCGTGATGCCCCCTATGCCGGTCTCTACGTCCTCTTTTACGAACAACTGAAGCGACGACTAGCGAACATGGCTGCAAAAGACTCAAGTAGCAGCGACGGGCCGGCAACATCATCTTCTCCATCCATCAATTTCGTCTCCGGTGCAGCCGCGGCCGGGATTGCGACCGCCATCACGAACCCCTTCGATGCGGTCAAAACCCGTCTTCAGCTCATGCCTGCCAAATATGGAAACATGGTCCGCGCGGTGCGCATCATGATCCATGAAGATGGCATGCGCAGCCTTTTCGGTGGGCTAGGACTGCGCATCGGCCGGAAGGCGTTTAGCTCTGCTCTTGCGTGGACCGTATATGAGGAGCTCATCCTCCGTGCGGAGAAGCGATGGGCGGAAAAGCATGAGATGGGCTTGTAATTTTATATGGATTTGTTTTGTATCACTATTCGATATCTTGTATTAACAGCTCAAAGTCTCAACTCCAGCCTGCGATTTACTATACTTCTCGACTGCGCATATTGCATCTGGCGTTGATGTTTATGTGAAGAAAGGATTTTGTTCATGACTTTTTGCTTACGAACTGCATTTTGTTTGTTCATCCCTGGCTCATCAGACGTGGGGGGAGGGGAATGGCAATGTTGAGAATCTACTACAACGCATTGGCATGGAATATCCCAAAACATATGTGGGAAGATAGATGTTTGAATAAATAGAATGGAGCGGCGTATGGATGCGATTGACATGACACACAAAGAAAGTCAACAGAAACAGGCAAAAACAGGTCATCAACTCATATCTCGTTACTGTACCACAGTAGTGACTGCCAGTTTCAAGAATCCCAACTCAAAAGAGGAAAAAGAAAACGATAACAGATTCAAAAGCAGTTTGTCTGGGTCTCATAGGCAGCGTAAAACAAAGACGAACCGTAGCCAAAGCATAAACCTGGTTCTTGAAAGATAATGGAAAGATGAAAGTTGCATACTGGGCCAAGACACAGCCCAGTGGAAGGAGACACGATAGATGAGATTTAGACGAACATAAACTTCCGGCCGGGGCTCTTCTTCCTCACCAAATACATCTTGTCCTTTCTGCGGTCGTTGACCTTGAGTTCGGTCGTGGAGCTGGATGTCTCGGCAATGACCTTACCCTCGCGAATTCGGCGGGAGTGTGCAAAGAGTTCTTCCTGGAAGTCCTCGGTGACCCATTTCTTGATGATGATGTAGTTGGTGTCGCGCTGTAGTGGAGTGTTAATATTGGAGGAGGTGAGAGACGTTTGTATAGGGCTGCTGCTTACCTCGTCCCAGTCCCAAGGCAGGTTGTACGCCAACAAAGTTTCGGGGAGCAGGTGCTTGCGGTGAACCTAGTTGACATTAGGGTTAGCCAGGGTTCCAGTAGCTAGCGCATCGACAAGATCAATCCATCATACCTTGATCCATGTGGTTTTCGTCTCCTCGGTAATAGTCTTGTGCTCTTCGTGCTTCTTGTGTTCCTCGTACTTCTTGTGCTCCTTCTTCTCCTTGTTGAGCATCTTCTCAATTTCCTCCTCGCTATATCCGAACTCGTGACGAAGACGCTCACGGAATTCCTTATCCTTCTTCTCTTGCGCCTCTTTAGCCGCCTGCTTGGCTTTTTCCTGTTCGATCTTCCACTCCTCAACGGCAGCCTTCTTCATGGCGATCTCCTTGGCCCTCTTCTCTTGCAATGCGCGCTGTGCGCGAGCCTCTTCTTCAATAATCTCCTGCTTGAGCTTGTCACGCTCCTCACGCTCCTCCTTCTCGCGAGCCATCTCCTTCAGTTTCGACTCTTCCAACTTTTGCTTCAGCTCCTTGCGATCAGCAGCTTCCTTCTCCGCCTCCTCAAATCTCTTGAGACGCCACTCATGCTCGGCTTTACGGCGCTCCTCAGCGGTATGAGTTTCTTCCTCGAATTTCTTCAAGCGCCACTGGGCATCAGCCTTGCGACGCTCCTCTTCAAGACGAGTATCTTCTTCAAACTTCTTCAAGCGCCACTGAGCATTCGCCTTACGCTGTTCATCTTCATTGCGAGATTTGCGCTCCTGCCGCTCCAACTTGCGCAACCGGTCGCTAATCTCCTCCTCATACCACTCCTCCTCTTCACGGAGGTGGCGTAGTTCACGAGAATCACGCGGAGGCTCGACACGCTCGCGGTGCTTCTCCAGTTCCCGCTCCAGCCGCTCAATCTCCTGCTGCTGCTTGAAGAGCTCCATGTCCTGGCGGTTATCGTTGCGTTCAAGCAGGCGCTGCTCCATGAGGAGTTCGAGGTCCCGGTGTTGAGGTTGATAAGGGGATGCCTCGCGGGAGATTCCGCTCGCGGCGCGACGGCGGGATCGGTGCACGTCTTCTTCGATCTCGTCGACGTCGATCACCTTGGACTGCTTCATCTTGGGCTTGTTGGCGTTGCTGTTGTTTGTGCGCTGGGCTTGCTCATTCACGATCATGACGGAGGGCCCGACGTCGCGCTCTCGACGACGACCCCCACCTGTCGAGGCTGAGCGGTACACTCGTGTTGCTTGCGTCGTAGGTTGGAGGTAGGCGGCCGAGGCAACCTCCGGGCGGCGGTGGCGGGAGATAGAGCGTCGGCGGACGGAGGTGCGGCCTTTACGACCGCTGATGGAGACATCGGTCTCCGAGTAGTCGGTATCATCCTCCGATTCGAAAATAAATTGTGGTGGCATTTTGGGCAAGATGGATTGTTGAAGATGAGGGAGGGTGGCGGATTGTGTTGTTAATTGTCGGTCCTGATCTCAAGCGGTCCAAGCACAGCACCTGAGCACGAGGTGAGGTGAGGTGGGGGTTGAGAAGAGGTAAGAAGAATCAGTGTGGGAGAAACCACCCAAAATAAAATATAAATAAAAAATGAATGAGTAAAAACAGCTTAGGCAGGAAGAGCCAGAAAGGGCCAGGAAATACGAGTTGGCTATGGGGATCGGCGGGGGAAGAAGTTGAAGAGGGAAAGGAAAGGAGGGGCTGGAAGGGAAGGGAGAAGAAGTGCGAACTGACTGACGACGGTATTTATTCGGAGCGATGATTACGGACAGACTTTGACACCCAATCATTCTTAGGGTTAGATTTGATTTTTTATTCCTAGTTCAGCCTCATCAACTGTCAGATCGCAGTGCGAGAATCTTGGTGCATTCTTATGCTTCATACTCGTATGCCCCGCTTCTCCTTGCTTAAACGCTGACGCGAGTTGAGAGCCTCGTGGCTATCATCATTATGGTGCTACCGTAGGTAGTACGAGTATATACTCCTTCAGGATTCTTCCCCTCCATCTCACTCCCTCCCTTTTGAATCTAGATTGTAATTGCCTCTCAACCCCGAGTCCTTTGGCGCTTTTGCTTCCAAGGTTTCGGGCATAGAAATAACATCATCGCCTCCAGCCACCGCTGCAGGGCCGCAGGGGGCTCCACTCTTGGGCCCAGGTCGTCCTCCCAGCGGAGTACTGGAGACTGGGGCGTTACAGAATCTCTGCCAATTGTCCGCAGAACAGTCCTTCTTTTCGCGGATTTCCGTCAAGTCTTTCCCTCCCGGTTCCAGCCTTAGTGTGAGCGCCTCTTGGGACCAATCTGACTATGAACACCCCACCTTTTCTAGATGAGCTTCCATCTCGCACCAATAGGTGAACCGTGCTCAACTTTTTCAGTCCGAATTTCCAATCCTCTTGGGTACAAAGCAACAGGAATTGGCCTGCCCCTTAGGCTGACGTTGATGTTTGGAATGAAGTCGGGCAGGGAGAAAGGAACCAAGGGACGCCATCGGCTGTTCCCGTGGACGACCCAAGGCACGTGTGGGGGTGATCGTGACTGACCCCGTAGACTGAGTATTCTCCAGAATATTCCCGGCTACTTTGTACTCTGCTCTCAGCCATACTGCTCACTGGCATTCCTGGCAGCAACCACCGTACACCCGACCACATCAGCCCCCACAGCTGACCAGCGTTGGCCCCACGGCTCACCGTCCGGACTGATTGCCCTCCGCCACTCCATCAGGTACGGCTGCGACTGCACGAGCTGCGACACTCCACGCAGAGAGAGTACCTGCGTAGTATGATCGTTCACGCTCAACGCAAGCTGCAGCAGATCGCGCCGATCCTGATCCCACCGCACAATCCCATTCGGCATCAGAATCCGGCCCTCCGTGCAGGGCGCTTCGCGTGCTGCTTTGTCGAGCACGGCGGTCCCGAAATCGAGCGCTTCGCTGGCGTATACGATATGGAACTCGGATCCGCTGTTTGCGAGAATGACTAGTTCCGGGCGGTAGATGGAGCCACTGGGGTCAGAGTTGCTGCTGCCGCCGCCGCCGCAGATGCCGTCCAGATGTGTGCGTGGAAATCCGACCCAGAGAGATATGTCCGGGTCTGACTCGTGGACTTGGATAAAGTTGGTACCACCGCGCATTTCACCTCTGATTTCCGGATGGTCGTGGATCATTCCAGCAGGGAGTTCTTGCTTGAAAGTCCAATCACAGAGGCCGTGGCGGATATGGCAGCGCAGAATTCGGAGAGGCTGCAGGCTGTAGACGAAGTTTAGATGGCGACTGGGCTGGTGATATAGGGAAGATTCCGAGTGGAAGAAGGGCGCCCAGTTCTTCTCTTCGGCTCTTTGCACTTCACCCCGGATTGTCAAGGGGTTGGTGATATTCGTGAAAGGTCGATGCACCCACATCGCCCGGCGCCCGTCAACCTTTTCAGAGAGCATGCTGAAAACAATCACAGGCTCAGCGCCTGGTACCCCATCTTCAATGATCACTCGCGGGTCTTCAGGCCCGATGAATGCACCACCCTCGTTCCAAATAACGGGGATATCAAGCATGCGGGGGAAGGTAATAGGCTCCTCATCCCAGTCTAGTGTATAGTTGTCCAGGTGGTTCCACAGCGCGTCGAAGACACGCCCACGTAAGAAACTAATCGTTGGCTCGGCGAGGGTTCCCGAGGGATAGTAAATCACCCGAGTGACAACGAAGTAAACCTCATACTCCGAAAGCCAAACACCCGAACCAGCCAATTCAGCCCAGTTCTTCGCAACAAAATCTTCGAGAGGTAAACCCTGACTCTTCAGTGCAAGGTCGACTTGTGGGTAACCCGTTAAACTTTCCACTGCCTGCGTCAGATTATCCCGCAACAAGAGACTCGGCAACACGCCCATTGTGGCCGTATGCCGACGCTCGTCACAGCCCGCCGTCGATCTAGGCACCCCATCATTATGGAATCCCGGAACAGTCAATCTTTCGAAATCCGGTTTCGCCGCCAGGGCCTTCACGGCAGAGAGATACCGGTCCACGGATCCCGGTGTCACGACAGGGCCCTGGGCAGGTTAGCGGAGTGATCCAACGTCATTTTTCTTAAAAATACCAGGTGATCGCCGCCATACCTGAACAGGTGTGAGGTGCAGATACGTCCTCAGTAGGCAAAACGCCAGAATGACGCCAATGGCGCTGGCGAGGACATGGCGTATTGGCCGGGGTTTATGCCACATCTTCCAATTAGGGCTTTTCCTCAGTAGATACCATGTAGGGCTGGGCGGACCCTAGTACTTCCTGCGGTCTGGATTGGAGCAAGGGTATTCCTAGTATGCAATAGAACATGCAAAAGAGGACTAGAGATCTAGGCGATCCACTACTTAATATAAGAGATGTCTCCCATTTGCCTGGTATGTTCATCATGCCTGAATTGGTTAAAAGGACGCCCACAGTGCTGGTTCCTGTTCACCGCTTATGGAAGCTCTCTTGTGTAAGGAGAAGACATAAAATTTTTATTCGTTGACATTTCTGCATTCCTCGAACAGGCCTACACGCAGACGGTGGAATGTGTCAAAGCCCGCCTTCGGTGTGTGTGCATTCCACCCCATGCGGGTGGCTGGCCCCACCGGCTGTCAATTGTAGTATCGATGGCCAGATGTATTTGAACGAGTTGTAGAAATAAGGAAAATTCCATGAGGCCAATTATCCTGATCTCCTGGTTCATGAAGGACACATACAGGTTGTCAAAATCATGACTAATATTCTTTGTTTGTTCATTGTGCATACAATCAATTTCGAAAACTCCTGGGTATCCAAGTCGCCAGTCACACAGAGCATCCATCCAATCCGATGCCATCGAGAAAAATAATAAAACCTGAATCTGAATCTGAATCTGAAATCTGACGATTATCCCTTGACTCATCTTCCTCGGTCATACTTACCCAGGCCTTCGATTTTCTTTCTTCTCTTCTTAGCTTCATCGTCTCCAATCGGATCCCGGACTAGAATCCGTATCGAACACCAATCTCTGTAAAAAAAAGTCTTCTAGCCTGGTCCCATTTCACTTGTACTCAGATTCCCATATTGCATAAACATATCCTGCGCTGCGTGAAGACCCCGATAGCACTGCTTCTGGCTCTCTCTCTCTCTCTCTCTCTTAACCGACTTATACTCTGCCAGACTTGAGAATCTGCTCCAGGTTTTCCCGGCTGTTTTTGTGTGTGGTCTCGTGGTAGTGCAGCTTCTTCTCCAGGTTGGTGATTTCTGAGGATGCCTCGGAGCTCTCGCGAGTGAGGCGCTTGTTAACGGTATCGATGGGGACATTGACGAACCTAAAAAGCATATAATTAGCATTATCCAAAAAAAGAAAATCAAAGCAAGAGGATCAATAGCCCCGACAAATATATCTGCGGGGAAAGAACTGGCCGATATAATAGGAGGGAAAACATACATCTTGCCCACGCCTTCGTATACCCTCGTTTCCGAGGGCAATTCCGACAACTCTTTGGAGGTCAGCTGCAGCATGCGGATATCGCGTTGCTTGGCTGTCATTTGTGCTTTGGTGATACCCATCTGCTGTTGTGAAGCAAGGGCGCGCGTCTCGATTTCTTGCAGGAGCTACGGGCGCGTTTGTTAGCAGCTGGTTTGAATCGGGGGTTCACCCAACGGTGTGCGTGGCCATTGGGCTGGAGCTGAAGCTGGGCTCGGAATTACTCGTTGCTTACCTTCTGCAGGGCTTCATTGGGAATCGACATCTTGTTTGTTGGGAAGGAGGTTTGTTGGTAGGGGTTGGTCGTGATAGCTTTTGGGTTCGTGGAGGGGAAAGGTGCGGGGCAGGGTGCCGGAGGAGAGGGAGGGTTTTCGGAATGTATTTATGTTCCTGCCGGGGATATTTCGGGGCAAGAGGAATCGAAGTCGGATGAAATGTGATTGCAGTAACGAAAGGATCGAGAGAATCGAGCGTCGACGACGGCGTGCCAGTCTTGTCGTCGCTTTGGCGGGCATGGGCGGTGGGCCGGACTGAGGGCGGTGAGAGTCTACTATGGCTATGGGCCCGACTTAGGGCAAGGTACAGACGACGGCTGTCGCATTACAAGTTGATATGTTTTCTTACTGCGTCATATCATTGTGTTTGGCCTTTGCTGTTATCTGGGATATTGTGAGTTGTTTGAATTGTTCTTTTCCATTTGGAATTACTCAGCTATCCGGGCATTTTGACAAAATGCAATGTTTGACCTTGGCTAGTCATCACTTTGCGCCACTGGCTTGAAGAAACATTTATCATTTTACAAAGACTTCCAAAAGGCCGTGTGCTATTATTAGATACATCATAATATATCCCTGTGATAAACCTTAGAAAATATGAAGAGAACATAGGAACAAAGACGAAATTTGCTAGATAACAGTCTTTAACTGAATACAATCTAGTGCTCCACATTGGGTCAATCGTTCGATTCGTTTAAGTACAACTACCGGAGGCTCTTGATGAGCTTCTTGTTTGTAATGAATTGAAATTTCATAAATAGAAAAAAAAGGGATATCACAATTATCATAGTCAATGAACCTAAGCGATGGAATTGAGGCCTTCGTTGGCAATTCTTCATCACTCAGAAAGAGATTGAGAGAAAGCGAATCAGACAAGGGGAATAGAAAAAATGGGAACCACAAAACGAAAATAGGAAAGTATGAAGCAAACAAAAAATCAAAGCATCCAATTGTCCAGAACACCGAAGCACCTAAACTCCCAATCCCATTCGGGCTTTGTTTCACAAAGCTCACCGGCGTAACCAACATCTGAAAACAAGCGGTGCTCAGCCAGAAAGTGAGTGTCGGTCAGCCTCATTAGGTGTGCAATTCGGTAGATATGGATCTTTTTTCATGAGTCGTCTTCGATCATGGGTATCATTCTTCCGCTGGCATAATTTAGAAGCTTAGAGGAGCCGGGTTATCCATGTATTCCCATGACTCTCCGATGTAAGCCGCCGGGCTAGAGTGGCCAGAGGGCATCGAAGTGGAGATGTAACTGGCATCTTCAAAGCCGTAGATATTAGCCGGCGATATAGCGGCATGTTCATAGGTGCCTTGATGATTCTGATTGTACTGCAGCAGCAGCGGATCCATGTGCTCATTGTTGAGGTGGATCGGAGGAGGCTGAGAAGTTTGACAGAGATCGTCATGACTACCGCCAGGGATTCCATTAATTCCACTGGGCATATCCTGGAGTCCGTGAATATCATATTTCACGTCGCTGTCAAAGCTGGAGTCTTGTAGCATGCCGGGGTGGATAGTAGGCAAGCTGGCTGGGAGACTCTGCGAGGGAAAGCTCGTGTTCCAGCTAGGATGATAGCTTGATGTGAGGATTGGTGGGTGGTGGTGGTAACCATCAAATGGAGTTGAAGATCGGCTAGAGATCTCATAGCTCTGTGTGCGGCGATGCAAGTGGGGTGGTGCCAGTGAGAATTCAGGCTCAAGGTCATCCCAGTCAGAAGGACTACCCAGAGTACCAGCCACCGAGACAGAAGAACGAGGAGGAGTAAGTTCAATTTCTGTTCGTCGCGCCACTCCAGTGTCCTTTTTAGGCTGGAACTTGTATCCGGGGAAAGCGATTGCATGGTTTGATCGCTCAATGCGCGACCATTCGTTGAACTGGTCTTTGAAGTGTGCCGACTCCAGCCGCCAACTCGCACCTATAGCCCTGGAAATCTCTTGATGGTTTTCCATGCCCAAGTACTCCTTACAACGAGCTGTGTAGGCAGATCGATAGAGCATAAAGGCATTCATGGGGCGAGCAACTGCCTTGTTTCCGCTCAGCCCTCTCACTCTGGCCTCTTCGAGCCGAGTCGGTGTTGGTCGGTTCACGTGGGCCTCCATATCCCGGACTGGGACATTTGCGAAATTGGCGGTAATTTCGGACAGAGGCCCTGGAAGGGCGATCCTTGCCTTCGGTCCACTCGCAGTATTTCTGTGGCTACGGCCACGCTTCTCTTTTGGGGAGCGAATGGCTCTAGCTTTGCTTCTAGCTGAGCTTTTTCGAGAAGGTGACGGCGAGTATGGGGGTGATGCAGATTGAACCCTCATTGGAAGATCTGCCCCCATGATGTGTGGGGTATGAGCCTGGTTATTAGGCATTATTGGGATCTGTGGGTTCAATATTCATTAGTTTGACGAGATGCATCTCGGTAAGGGAAATAGCTTACCGGGTGTGAAGTAGGAATGTGCGAGTAATATTGCGGTGGAGAGCCATATAGCTAGTGGTCATTGTTAGATAGGATTCTATGAAAGATCTATGCAATATGGCAAAAGTTGGAACTCACCATCTGGGGTGGGGTGCTCGGGTCAAACTCTGCAGCCATCGGAAATTGCTCCATGCTGTTGTCAATCAGGCCGTATGTAGGTGGGTAGGTAGAGTGGAATTCTCCCTCTAATGAAGTAGGTGGAGAGGGAGGAAGGGCTGAACCTTCCAATTTTTGACTGGGCATGATGTGATGAGTGGGATGCGGAAGATAACAGGCCAGAAAGGAAAAGCAATGAGAATCTGATGAAGATATCCGCGAATGTGGTACTAGTAGTTGACCTGACCGATTCATAAAATAGCTCTCAAGCAGCAAATATGGAAAAACGACAGAAGGCTTCCAGAAAGAGGAAAGAAGGAGAAGAAGAGAGAAGGAAGATGGCGTTAATGTTGTCCAACGGTGACAGGCGGTCTCGCATCTAACGTGAAAGGAGACAACACGTTCTCAGACAAGCCGGGAAGGTGAAGGGCCAAGTGAGACAAGCAGGAGAGTCAGAGGCCAATAAAGAACGGGAGGTACCCGAGAAGGATGTTGGAAGGGAAGAACTAAGAAGAAAGTATACTTCGAGAGATGAGGTCCACCCGGGCGGGGCAGATGAATAAATAAGAAATTTCAGAATCTCTGCAATGGGGAAGAGGAAGATTAATTGAGAGGGAAGAGAGTGGAGAGAAGAACAGGCGAGGAGGGGTGTTTAATGGTTGCTGCGGCAGAGGCCCGTTGATGCTTGCAAACACCCGCCAGAGAGGCTGAAACGACGAAGTGAACCTGCATACAACACGATGGCGTGAATCTATTTCGTCTAGGCGTGTCCTAGCGCGGGTTCATGCAATTAGAATTCTTTTATTATAATTTTAATTTTGGAAAATATCATTATTTTTATCATTATTTGTCTCTATCAATTTTTTCCTCTTTATTATCCAGTTTCGCACTTGACCAAATCTGGTAGTGGCCCCCCCCTCCCCTCCTCCACTCCGGGGGGGAGTACACTGGAGAGCCCCGGAGAAGGAAGAAGGAGGGGGGGCGCACTTGTATCGTGTCCAGGTAACTTACTCTTAGCGTTTCTTTCAATCGAAAAATAACTATTCAGCCGTTTTTTACCATTGGTCTACTTTTTCCTTCTTTTTATTTGATTCGCCAGCCCATTGATCTTTTTATTTTATGCTTTGGGACTCTTTTCTTTATCTGGCATTTCCATTCTCCCCAATCAACATGGCTCAGCCCTTCCATAATATGACACCTGCGCTTTGTACTAATTATGGATAGAAGACAGAAGGCATTGCCTCAATTGTGGGGCTTTGGGGCACTCTATGAAGAGAGAAAAAAGAGCAAAAGGATAAAAAGAGAAAAAAGAGAAAAAGACAGAAAAAGAAAAGGAACAGAGAATTGTTGTAGAGCACAAAATCGATATTCTTGACTACTCTAACTTGGCCCATCTAGGTGAAATATTGGACTGGATGATAACGCCCGGTATGGAATGACCATGGGAGGGCTCTTTTTGTTTTGAAAAAGAAAAGAAAATCCAAGGCTCGTTCCACGGCTTCTGGGAATACCATAGGTCGGATGGAAATTCAAGAAGGGGATCGAACGACCGGGGGTATTGAACTTGGTGGATCATTCGGATACCTCCCCAGTCATACTGAGAAGACTAAACCTACAGTTCTGACAGGGGGATAACTAGGCGAGGATTGAGTCGTACGTACTTGGATGAGGAGGGGGATAATGGCGTCTACACTACCACAAAAAGCAATCATGGTAGAACAGCAAGCGGCAATTTTGGATGATGCATGCACCCTGATGAGGTTATGCATCGAAGTCAATTTCACATACAAACCTAGACCTGTCTGTGATATCCAGAATTATTTCATGTGATGTAAGTTGTAACCTTTTAGGGGAATAAAGTAATTTTCCTCTATCCTTATTTGGAATTTAGCCCGTAGTTTCTCATCTCTACCGCAGCCCTAGCTGATGGGGCCAGCGATAGGAAAGTCGAGGGACGCTAGGAAATGCGCCAATGATGATGGAGGTAGTCCGAGAACTGCCCCAGTCTGCAAGTCATTGTAATAAACGCCAGAGTTTCAAAGATGGGGCTGTAATTCAATACGGTATTAGACTGGGGAAGCTGCTTAGTTCCTGGAGACGCGCGAAGGTGATGGTTGATGGGTGAAGCCTCTCCCCTACAGGTCGAACCATTGATTTAGCGAGTAATCCGGGATCATCTACTCAACGTTCCAGACCACGAAAGGGATACTAGGTGGCATCTGACGGGTTTGCCCATCTCAATCTCTAACCATGGTTTATCACTGAGGCGGCTGCCTTCGCGGAGATTCGGCCGGGAGAATAATGTAGAGTATAACAATATTCGGCGACCATAGAACCCCGCGAGTGGGACAGCTTGGTGGGGACGATCACTCCTGATCGACGTGTGGGTCATTTTAGTCATTTTACGGTCACGATCATCTGCGCCAGCGCCACCTGAACAGTGATTGGTCTGAATAAACGGACGGCTGATGAGTCCGGCAGGCCTGGACTGGTCACTCATGATACGCTTGCCCTCGTTTGGTCTTAGTGGGATTACCCGTTTGCCTATCGTGGAGAAGAGAAGACTATCGATGTTGGGACGATGTTGGTTCGAGATTGGGGATTTTAAGTTAAAGTAAAGCTCGGCCGAGGGCGTACGAACGTCCGCTGTCCAGCCTCGACATTCACAGTTGGCACAGGTTCTGCCAGAACGGTTTCCAGAACGAATCCCTCGTCTTCGGGGGTTATTTTTTTTGCTATTTTTCTCCACAGGTTGAGCGTGACCGGCGGCGTCTAGCGCTACTGGAACCAACCTTGTACCATCGCCGGATTTGGCCTAGAATAAGGCGATACCAACAACCCCTGTAGTAGTTTTCTAGGCACACTGTCTGGATGTCTTTGTTTTTCCGCTTCATTATACCAATTCTACTGGGGAACGGACCAGGATTGCGGTGAGCCCTGCCAACATAAGTGGATGAACGCTCTGGGGGTCAGTTCGATCGCAATCATCGCCCCTAGTGGCGTCCTCACTTGCGCCCGGCTACGTTTTTTGATCCCTGTGATACTCCACCGTGAGATATTTCTTTGTCTGTCCGGCATTTGCGAAAATCATGGTGAACTCTGCTGCCATGTGGCCCTACAAGGATGGGAGGCGCAGTGCGGCCCCTGCAGTAAGGTGCGCACTCCCGAGCAGAGTGGCCACCGCAGACTGGAGGACGAGTCCCAAGCCCTGCGCTTCTACTGGGGTGGAAATCCTGCTCGCTGAGCTTATCTGGGCCCCGCTGCGGAAGTACCTTTTCCGGAGTAAGAACTCTACCACATATGCCCGGGGACCTGCAGTGGTTCGACAGCAGTCACGAACCAATACTGAGCCTCCAACATCAAATATTCATCTAGTACAGGATAAATCCATGATTATCATGCCTCAACGCCTCCTAGCCAACAGGCCCTCCTTCTCTTTGGTTCCTCTTACCTGGAGTCATTCCAAATTACATCTCTTCAGCCAGTGAGCGATTATCCGGGAGGTTATGGTGGAGGGCACAGGCCTTCCGACCCAGAATTCAGCATCTACAACCCTGTAGGTTCCCCTCTCACTACGGAGGAGAAAGAAACACGATTGACAGCAACGATATGCCACCGGCCATTCCCATAAGCATGCATCTAGTTCTCTGTCGGTAGGCCTATCGATCCCACTGTTTCCTGAAGAGCACGAGCTCATGAATCCTGGGGTCGGTGCTGTATACGGCATACCAAGAACAGCATGCTCCAAAATTGATTCTGCGAGATCCTTGCACAAAATCCCTGCCATAGCCACCATATTTATCTGAGCGTAGCTAATTCTGGAGTCTTTGCCTCCGGCTCACTGTCCTAACCTTGATAGCATACGTTCCAAAGTAGACTCGATTATTCATGGAATTTTATTCATGCTATTGCAAAAGCTTAGGGTCGTTATTCTGGTATCCTCTACCAAACATGGAAGATCTTCAGAGCCGGGTGGATCTATCGGGGAGCAGCCGTCGACATTGCGGGTCTACCATAGGATGTCTCCATTTGAAGGCCCCGCTGCAACGTGCTCGTCGCTTGGGCCCTCGATTTAGTCTTGAGATGACATCTTTGCAATTTGGTCCGAATTCCAAGCCTCCCTATGCCAGATAAGGCTTTTTCTAGTTCTGCCCGGGAAGCCATTTTTGTCACGTTCGAGGTAATTCGGGGGGGTCCTACCGTTCAAACCGTATGAATAACCACTTGGAAAGCTGGATCTAGCGAGCATCCCTGCGTTTCTACGGCCCTTGCATCGTACACAACTTGGGTCTTGCACCGCTCGGATGCTATTGCTTCTGCATTTGGATCAATGAGCCCCCGCTCCTTGATGAACCATCGTTCGTTTTCCTGGATGCTGCTCTCGAGCCCTGCCATGATCTTCGGGTGATGGCCCCCTCCCTGTCATATTCCATTGACGTCCGGGGTAGTCGGCTGTGGGAACCTGTCAAGGCTCACAATGCATCCCTCTATTGGCTGTCGTGGTGATCGTTGCATTCTGTCCCCTGTCAAACCCACTGAGTGCATCAATGAGATTCAGTCAGCGGGATGGGGCAATTCAGGTGCCACTCTGACCAAATCCTCGCACTCTGACCGCCTCTTTTTCTGAAAGGCTCTTTCACAGTCGAATTCCCAGGCACAGAGGATGGAAGACAGAGTTTGTGGAAAGGACAAATGCCTCGTCGCTGCTCTTAGCCTGATTCACATCCCTATGAGATATTTCTGCAATGAGTCTTCAGTGATCAGAATTTGTTAATCATTTCATGACCGTGGGAAATGCATTCCTCTACTTCTCACCTCTATATCTTTTTCCTATCTGGTACATTCATGCAGTAAAAAAAAGTACACTTTACGTCCAGCTGAGTACCGCATGTATAGCTGCAGTTCAAGAACCTATTCCTAACCACCTTCTTCTCTAGGAGATTACCACGTGTTTTACGACGTGGGTCAGAGAATCCAACAGTGATTCAAGTTTCACGATTGGCTGTAGAGACGAGGATCACCTGTCAGCGGGCACAGTCAATCTGCACCAGAGCGGCTAGCACGTATCTTCATATCATGTCTCCTTATTGACTGCGTTCCGGGCCAGTCGGTGTGCTCTCCACCCCGCAGGCTTACAAGCCGTTGAT